CTATGAGCACAATCTTTGCTGTTATCTGAGTAATTATTTCTGATTTCATTTTTCCCAGATCCTCTTTTGTTGCCAGTTCAGGGAGTCCAGGTAGTTGAGTATCAGATTGTTCCATCTTGTTTCCCTTTGGGATGGCTGTAGGTGATCTGGAAGTCTGTTTTTGAGGCTTGTTTATGTGTCTTCTCATTTCCAGGGGGGGTGGAGGGGGGGTAGGGGGTGCTTCTGGCGCTCATGTGGTTCAGCTTCTCTGCCCTACGAGTGTGGAATGGTGGCAAGGGAGCTTCCTTCCAGGTGCTGGGACCAGCTCAGCTTCTCTGCCCTAGGAGCATGGGATGGCAGCAGGGGAGCTTCCTTCTGAAAGTACCGCATACTGAGTACAGGAAAAGACACCAATTTGTTATTTCAGGATTTGCTGCAGACATGAATATTACAAACAACTCTTCCCCAATATCACAGCCTAGTTCTGTTGGTTAAGACCTCTTTTTGAGCCACAGCCAGAGTACATCTCACTAGCACCCACAAAGACACTGCCAAAAGACTATAATGTCCGAGTGTCATGAATCCATCCTTGTGTCCTATGGTGCCACATATTGTCACCGTCACTGAAACAGTGGCAACCTAGACTAGAGACAGGTGCACTGCCTTTTTCTCAGTTCCCTTGTGGCTAAGGATCAGAACTAATTTGCACTTGTGGGAATATGGCCACAGTGTGCTTTCACTGTGCACCTGCAAAAATACTTCAGCTCCCCTGCAGGCCATGGTTGTGGGTGGGGCTTGATCTTCAACAGGCCTAGGTTCCCAGAAATATTTCAGTCCTGTTTCATTGATAATAGGCCCTCCAAAAACAGGTGGAAGACGTGCTCTGCTAAGTCATTGACACATTAACAAGCACTAAGTGAGCCAAAACCCTGTAAAGTACATGACCTAGAATAACAGGTGAAATTCCTAGGAGTCACTTGTATGGGAAGCCAAAAAACTAGGTACAATCAAGAGAAAAAGGGCCAGGGGTTTAGTCCAGTGGTGCCGCACCTGCCTCATAAGCACAAGGTCCTGAGTTCCATCCCTGGTACCAGAAAAAAAAAGGGCAAAAGATTTTTGGCTCTGATGGCATCCAGTCATAAAGAGTAGGCATAGAAGCTGCAAGGCCTCTTTGGGTACTTCCGACAAGTGGTACTCAACCTGTGTATCTTTTGGCTTCCTTAGTCACGGTGACTAACAAAGCTGCCAAGTTTGAATGGGGTCATTTGTAACAGCAGGAAGCCATTCAATAAGCTGCGGCTCAGGTACTGCCTTTGTTACCTTCATGGCTTGCTAGCCAGTGGAGTGACAGGTGTCTAAAACCTTCATGTATGTTTCTCTTGCAACAGGAAAATGCTACTGGGGTGTGCTGGCCTCTCAGCAGAACAAGGTGATGGTTAATTATTACCAACACCTCTTGCTGCACCTGGGCAACCCCTCAGATATTGAAGAGATAGAATGGGAAAGATTCAGAAATAGGTCTCCTCTATTGCTTGCAAATTGATCCTCTCTCCCAATGGGGCCCTCAGAAGTATCATTCTTTGGCCTCATCAATAACGTCTTTTCTTGGTGGCTGAGATTCTGGAAGATATCACTGCTCCAGGTCCTATCATCCTGCTTGTGGTAGGGTCCTCCTTGGTCTAGTGAGATGTATTCTGGCTGTGGCTCAACAGTGTTGCCCTGAAATTGTGTCAGTCGTGGTGTCACATGAAACACATGAGGGCACAGAGAGGTCTGAGCCACACAAAATGATTTATCTTTGATTAGGGGAGTTCCAGGTCTGAGGTGTGGACTGCAGAACATGTTTCTTATGGTCTGGGATGACTCAGTGATGGCAGTTGTTGTTAGTTATAAAATCTAGGGCACGGTGCTTTTGGAGTCTTTGAGTTTTAGTGAAAGGTGGGGCGGGTGTGTAGGAGACTCCATCTACCTTGGGTGGTTATCTTGAGTTTGAGATACCAAGTTGCCATGATCCCTAGGCATCTGTTTTTACTGGCTCCCAATCTTCAAGTAATAAATTTTCTTGGATTAAACTTGTGTGAATATTCTGTGTTATTCGACTTGTACAAGTGATGAAGAAAGAGTGTATAGTAAACCTACTTCACTGGAGATGGTTACCCTACTCCAGATTCATCTTCACTTCTCAACAGAGACTATCTTTTTGGAACAGTTTATAGCTTTTTAGAAAAATTGAGAAGACAATAAATGTACCTGTGCAGGTTCCATTTTATGTTAATATACTACATACATTAGAATTCATGAACAGCAATTGACATATTATTATTAACAAAATTCCACTTATTCAGATTCTCTTTATTTCTAACTAATATCTCCCCCGCTCCAGGCTCACAAGATCACCGTGACTGTTTTTACTACCATTGTCATTCATTTTATGGTGACACTCAACAAATCCTTTTCCCTTTTCCTTTTCTTTGCTGTCACTGAATCTTATCATCTTATCCTCTTCTCCCAAGGAAGGGAGGGTCAAGCTCTACCTGAAGTCTGTGCCCTAGAGGCTAAGAAATGTGCCCACCACCTGATTGTGGGCAGGTAGGTGGGATGGAGGCTCTGCTTCAGACTTAGCAGGAAGGTAAGCAGGAAGGCTGGTGGTCTGAGTTGCTCCTGTTGCAGTCAAATCTACAGGTTCCAAGCTACTTTGAGGAAAAGACCACTGACCAGAAATTACCTCAGGATGAGCCAGAGAGATTTGTCACCCAAGGTTGAAGGTGAAGCCTCAACTGCCTCATAAAATCCTCCTTGGCACCTACCCTTCAAACAGGTGCTGGCTGCTCATTATATCCACCACTTTTGTGCATTGTGGTGTGAGTACCATTTCCTTGGCTTGGTTCTTAGTTGGGAAGGGTGGAGGGGGTGAAGGGTGCACAGGTAATGGGGAAAAAATAAGAACTAAGATACATCATGTTCGGGTACAAACACCCAATGATAAATGTAAATGTATTTTATATCTAAAATGTACCAATAAATATATAAATTTAAAAAATAAAAATAAAATGTACATATTAAGGTAACTCAAAAATTAAGGTGACTCAAATGTCTACCAATAATGAGTTAATAAGATAAATTTTGATACACATAAGCAAGTACTATGTATTCATTAATGCCAGGCTGGCATTGATTAAGCATGTGAGAAGATTTCTACGGTATAACATTCAGTAGGAGGGTCGTTTCAGGAGACCTGTGGAAGGAATGGCCACTGTGTATTAGCACTGTGTGGGTGCATTTTACCCCAGGCTGTACACAGTCAGGATGAAGAGGATGAAGACTGAGCCTCCTGCCCTGTCAGCCAACCATAGGTCAGAGATGGAGGTTCTTTTTGTCCAAGGGTGAATCATATTGGTGTTAATTATATGATTTCAAGGCTTTAATTTTAGTGTTGTTTCTTGATCATAGATATTGCAATAATAAACATTTTCCTGATTATAGCTCTTAACCCCTGGTTAGCTAATTCCTTGCTTGGACTATAGTCCCAGGGGATGATGACTGAATGAAGGGTATTCAGTCCAAATCTCTGTTGCTCTAGCTTGATGCTGGCCAAGTTCTTCCATTTTTAAAAAATTCAAGCCATATTTCTAGTTTAGAAATTGAAAACTGCATCATGAAGCACTTTTTTGTCGAGAAAATGTTTATATTGAGTAGATGAAGGAACACTTAAGAAGTTATTATTTTGGTGCTGGGGACTGAACTGAGAGCCTAGGGCATGTGCACCCTGTACCATGTGCGGAGCTACATTACCAGCACCTTCCCACTGTTTTCTGTCAAACCTTTAGGGGTGTAGTCAGGTTACTCGTCCTTTGGCGCCCCCTTTTGGGAGAGTCACTCATTGGCCCGTGTGGCCCCTCCCAAGGGAGCTGCAAATTCTGAGATGGGGCCAGGTAGAAGGGGCAGCCCAGAAAAAATCCTGTGCTGGGGTGAGCTGGGGGAGGGGATTCAACTGTCAGTAGAGAGCCCAGGTGGCATCTGTGTCCCCCCCCCAATCATCCTACAGTCTGGTCCCCCTCAGAGCACTCCTTTTCACCTTGCACTGGGTGTTTCCTGAAGGACCAAGCTGGTGGCCACTTCTCTTTCACTTCCCACCCATCACCCTTCTCATTGAAAACCCTCCCTTCCCTTCTTTCGATGCACAGGATGAGGCTGCAGCTCTAGCCTGGTGCGCAGGGCCCTTTGGCTTCGTTTCCACAGGGCTTTGGAGTCCTGAGTGCTCTAACTGCTCTTGGTGCTCCCTGTGGACCCTTGACCAGGCCATGTTCTTTCTGCCCTCCAGGCCTCCAGGGCTTTGCCCAGGTGGTTTTCTCTGCCTGGAGCACCTGGCCCTCTGTTCCTCACTGCAGCCCCAAGCTGCTCATGTCCTGACTGAGCCATCTCCTCCCAGAGGAAATCTTCCCCAGTGTGCACACTGTGTGTTTGCACTGCCCAGCGGGGGCCTGACACACTGCAGTACTGGGGAAATAGCTGCTGAATGAGGAAAGGAATGCCCTCCTGACTGTGGAGTTTGGAGGTTCTCTAACTGGAGTGGGGGACATCGGAGAAATGCGTGTGTGTGCCTGACCCCACCCGAGCCCTGAAGCTGGGAGGATGAGCTAGCTCTGAGGCAGGGATGGATAATGAGCCCTTGTGATTCTTAAACGCTTCATCCCTGAAACCGGCTGCATTCATCTTAGTGATGAGTCAGTGATATCATCAAGAAGGCAGGAGACTGGAGAGTCCTCTGGCTGTCCTAACTGGAGCCACCGGGATCTGCGGGACACAGCTGCCTCCTGCCTGAGTGTGCGAGTCTCCGGGGCCAGGTTCAGGATGGACTGTGAGCTTTCAGCAGCCCTGCCGGAAACAACAGGTCAGTGCCCCTTCAAGGGCATCCCAGGGGGGAGCATCCTGGGTGGGCTGAGGCACAACTGTGGCCCCCGAGGGGTTTAGGACCCTACCTGAAAAGCAGGGTCTTTCTCCCAAAGACACGGGTTTGAGTCCAACTCTAGGTGAATCCGGTGTGTGATCTTGGGAAATCCCTTAAGCTCTCTGGACTTTATTCCCCCCCAGGAAAACAGGGGAAATGGTGCCTCCCTTTTAAGGCCTTGCTGAGGATTAAATGGGATTGTGTGTGGATGCGCTTCTCCAGGAGGGGTGGAAGCAGCAGCTGCTGTGATTCGGGCCTGCACATGGTCCCAGGGAAGCTGCACTCTGACAAGAGAGGGCTTCTGTCCAACTCTGTAGGAAGAGAGTAGCAGGAGGCCCAGCATCAGAACACCAGATGGGGGCTACACAGCGGCTAGGGGAGGCTGCAGGACTGTGAGGCTCCTCCTGGGCCTCAGCTCCTAAAGAGGTTCAGCCAGTGAGGTAGCAGTGAGGTGAAGAGGGCAACCCAAGTCCTGTCTGTACAGTGAAATGAGAAGGAAAACAGCACCAAAAGTGCAGGCCCGAGTTTCCTCTGTAATACGATTGTTTTCATGTCCCAGTAGGTTATTGTTGAGCAGGATCCTGCCTTCTCCATGTTAAACGACATAAACACTCTCCTGCTTTAGAAAGGAGTGCGTTTCTCCTCACTCTTGACTAGAGCTAACTCTTAACTCAGGGTGGGCTAGAGGGGAGGAGGACACAGCTCCTGTGCCCAAGAGGCCCTCAGTTCCAGCAAAGGGACACGGCTGTGTCCTGAATGCTGCAGGACAGCGTCTTGCAGAGCAATGACTTTGAGTCCCCTCTGCAAGGGGACGGATGGCATTGAGGGACAGCACCCAGACAAGGTGCAGGAACCCAGGTAGAACAGGAGGGCAGAAGGCTCTGGGAGAAAGCATCCACCCTGCCGAGGACTGGCTCAGATGAGGGGCTGCTGTCTCTACTCGGATTCTCTGCTGGCCCCGACTGCTCCTCCCCTGCATCCCCAGGTTTGTCTCCTGTCATGCCTGACACGCCGGTGGAGGAGTCCCTCTTCAACATCATCCACTGCTACCACCAGTATGCAGCCCGGGAAGGGGACGTGGAGACCCTGTCCCTGGAGGAGCTGAAGGCTCTGCTCATGGACAATGTGCCCCGCTTCATGGAGACCCTGGTGTGTAGGGTCTGGGATCCGGGTGGGGGTGAGCAGGGGACCAGGGCACTTGCATAGGGTTGGTTATGGGGTGGGAAGTGAGTGTTGGATGTTAGTGGTGAGGGTATTGAGAGGGAACTGACTTCCATGAGAATCTCCAGCCTGGGGGAGGGAGGAGGACAGGATCTTCCCAGCTTGCTTTCCTCTCTTTGCCTCCACCAAATCTCCCACCTTGTCCCACTCCAGCTCAGCCCTGAAACTGTCCCAACACCCACCTGTTTATCCCTCTGCCCTTCCTGCCTACCGAGCACAGGTTCTGCCCTCCCCTGTGCTCAGAGCCCATTCAGTCTGACTCTTCCTCAAACCCCAGGCACCTTTCTGAGCCCCTGAGATGCAGCCCTTTCTCCTGTCCCTCTGTCATGGTCCCTGGGGAGTCCAGTTTTGGCTGTGGGGGCTGCTGTAGGCTGGCCAAAGGTAAGAAGGAGCCTCCCCTTCTATGCCCCTTCTGTCCCCAGAGTCTCTCAGGCTTGGAGGCAATGGTCTCCTCCCCACCGGCGCAGCCCAGGATCCACAGGCCCCCCGGGGATGGCAAGGCCATCTGCCTTCTGCCCTCTGTCCCATGCCTCCGGTCCCTGGACTGTCATCTCCAGAGAATATCAGGTCCAGCCCCTGACTCAAGGCCAGTCTTTTCCAGAGAGGCATTCTTTCGGCAACTTCCCAGCTCTGCCACTTGGCTTTGGGGAAAAGCAGAGGATCAGTGTGGCCCAGTGTTACTGTAGGTAGCTCTGAGGGCTCAGAGGGGGCCAGCACTGAAGGTTACTGTGGTTCATCCTGCTCCCGGGAAACTCTTTCCCTACCAGGACAAGTCCAAGGGCTTGGCCTGTACTGCCCGGGCCCTGTACCCATGGGGCTCACAGTCCCACCAAGGTCGGGGCCCTTAGGGACAGACACCTGGACACAGGTAGGAAGCCTTGTGAAGGTGGCCCAAGCTGAGGGAAGCTGGGCAGAGGCCACTCAAGGTGAGACGCTTCCAGCTCCTCTGGTCAGTCAGCTTCGTGGGAGCAGCAGAAGGTGGTATGGGTGAGGAGAGCAGCTTTGAATCTCCTTCAGGGACGAGAAGCTGCCCTCCTGGTCCCCAGATGCTTCCAGATGCACCAACTCCCTCCCACAGTGCCTGTCTTGGGGCTGAGCATGGCCACGCCCACTAGCCAGATGTGGCAAGAACTTACTTTAGCCCCCTGCACAGTGTCCTCGCCACCCACCTGGTCCCCAGCTGCTCCATCTCTGGGGTGGGCTGAACCTGACTTTCCCCATGCTACGCTATCCTTCTACCTCAGATCCCTCTTTCCTTATCTACCAATCCCAGCCAGATCAGGGCCAGGACATCCTGGACGGCTCCAGGGCTGATGGCTTCATCCTTCCTCTCTCTGTGCCCTCTATGTGGATGACACAGGCAGTGTCATAAACAGTGCCCAGGTGGCTGCCATGGCACGCAAACACCTGACCCAGCTCGTGTGGGTCCTGCTGCTGTGCTGGCCATGCAGACATTAGGGACAGGCGGACTCTGGCCTTGGGGAGCTCCCAGGGTGGGGCTGGGGGTGGCTTCCCACCTTCAGGAGGCTGGTGTGGGGTCCAAGCAGTCAGGCTTCCGTGGCCACAGACGGTGGCCAGGAGGTGGGGGGGGGCAGGGTGCTCAGTGCTGCTCAGGGTCTGTGCAGTTAGCCCATGATCTGTGCCGTGCACACACTTGGCTCCATCTGCCCCCGTGCCCTCTGCTCCACTGACCTGAGACACCCAGCATGCCTCGGCCTCTTCGGCCTCTTCTTTGCAGCACATATTCACTGGGTATTTGGGTGAAGAGTTGTTTCCCACTTCTGCAGTGGGGGAAGGCCTGGCAGGTGGGCTGCATGCCTGCTGGGCAGGTGACCGTATGCCTCTCCTCAGGGCCGGAAGGAGCCATACTACATTGCAGAGTTGTTCCGGGCAGCAGACAAGAACAAAGACAACCAGATCTGCTTCGATGAGTTCCTCTACATCCTGGGCAAGCTGGTGAAGGACTATCACCTGCGGTACCACCGGCAGTTGTGTGCCCGTTACTCTGCCCAGCACAGCCTCTACTAGAGGGAGGGCAGGTGGAGCCTGTACCCACCCAGGAGAGGAGCCAAGCAGAGGACTCTGCTGCTCGTCAGTGTGTGTGCATATAACCGAACAAACTCGCACATGTATTTCCGAGCATTATTTGGCACACGGTTCTGGGTAGTGTAGTAGTCAGCCCAGAAGTGGTCTCCACCCTGGAGAATGTCCATTTCCAGGGAGACCCAGTCTGGCCTTCGGCTTTCCCTCTGTGAGGAGGGGGAGGCTCTCGTCTAAGGCAGGTGACCCTCTGACAAGGAAGCCAGGCCTCACCAGGGCTCACTGGCCGGCTGCACTGGACATGGACCCAGATTTCAAAGGTGTCCTGGTTTGGTGAGCCTCAGTGAGCCTCGGTGAGCTTGTATTGCAAGGGGGACTAGTCTGGGCCTGAAAAGCGGGGAGAATGCATTTCCAAAGGAGGAAACAGCAGTGGGGACCGTGGAGTATGTCCAGGAGCAATAAAAGCTTTGCTTGGAAATCAGTGTCCGAGGAAAATATATGGACTCAGTGGGAACGGGTGGGCAGGACCAGACTGGAAGTCCTCGAAAGCTGAGCGGTAGGATTTAGATAATGGGACCCTGAGCAGTTGTGCAAGGAGGGGGCAGTGACAGTGTGACCAGCCTTGCGCTTTGGGAAACCATCTGGGGGCAGAGGGAATGGGCCCATTAGTGCAGCCTGAGCCCGGGGCGGGGAAGTGAGAACATCAACACCTCAGACCCCAGCTGCAGACCCAGCGAGAAGGATGCAGAGGAGGTGGAGTCTCGGGTGTTAGCGACTGAGGGAAAGATGGTGTGGGTAACCAGCATCACAGGCGTTGGGCAGGGAGCCACCGTGCGAGGGGACACTGAGCGCCAGGTGTTGTGCGTGCTGAGTCAGAGAAGGGGACAAGACCAGAGGGGATGATCCAGGCTGGAGAACTGTCAACACCTGTCATGGGATAGCGATGAGCAAAGCCGGGAGGCTGTCAACAAGGAAGGCTTCCCGGAGGAGGGAAGTGGCGGCTCTGGTTTTCACTAATAAAGCATGATGATGAATGTGGGCCTTGGTCCTGACTCGGAGCTGCTCGTGACTCAGCAGTCCAGATCCTGTGGTCCCTGACTGCTCCCATCTGAGACCTGGCCGTGCCCGATCCATCTGCATTGTTTTGTCCCTGGGAGCCCAGGAATCTGAGGAGGCCTCCCCTGCCTCCCCTGCCCATCCCGGCAGCTGTTTTTCTGAGGATGGGTCTGGAACCCATGTCCTAAGCCAAGCTTATTTCTATACAAGTAGCTTGTTTCTATAGAAACAGTGGGAGTTAAAAGAATGGCAGGTGATCACCACACTGCTCACCTCTGGGAAGACTTTTTTTAAAATTTGCAGTACTGGGCATTGACCCTAGGGCCTTCCAACTGAGCTACCTCCCCAACCCCTTTTATTGTTTTTTATTTTGACACAGGATCTCATTAAGTAACCAAGTTACCCAGGCTGGGCTGGAACTTTCTTGTCCTCCTGCCTTGGCCTGCCAGAGGGCTGGGATTACAGGCCTACACCAGCACCCCAGGCTGCTGAGGCTACTTTTGTATGTTTCCCTCTGGTCCCACCCATGCAAAGGGGTACATTCTGCTCTGTGATGATGTTCACTCTGTGCCCGCTCCTAGCCTGTGCCTGCTCCTGACCCGGCATCCACGCAGCAGGGCCTCGGGCATGGAGGGCAGGAAAGGCGCCTGCGGCTGGGATGGCAGCATTGAATCTGTGCTCCCTCCCACAGGGCCCCTCAGTGGTGGAGACCTGAGCCTGGTGATTCAGGTCCCCCTTCCTGGTGCCCGGGGGAGTCTCTCCTGCCTACCTCCCTAAGGCTCCTTGGGTCCCACAGGCCTGCGCCAGGAACCCCATTTGAGCTCCACACCTTCCCGCAGCCTCTTGCTGGCGATTTCTCCACCGGTTCTGCCTGGTCTGTCATCATTCCTCGGCCTCGGGCTGGGCTGTTGGTACACTCACTGGGGACTGGGCCCTTTCCTATAAACACGACCAAGTTCCAACCCCCCAGGTTGCCCCACGTCCTTCAGGCTGATGACAGATTCTGCCATTTCCATGAGATGTTTACCCAGTTCTTGCCCCTTGCATCTCCTACACCAGCTTAGCCTGACTCCTGTTCTCTGGAAAGCCCCCAGAGCTATCCATCTGTGAGGAGGGCATTGGGGCGGCCTGGTGACAAGTCACAGTCTCGCTGGTCAGCCCGCACATGCTGCTGGCCGGAAGCCATCCCTTATGACTGTCTTTAGTATCTGCCAATGAGCCCAGGAAAAGACTGGGTAATGCCCTGTGGATAATTATACCTGCAATGCCCATTTTATAAAGTTGCCGGGAGTATCAACTGAATCAGTAGATGTAAACACACTTTGAAAATATGATGCTTTGCTTAGGGTTAGGTGGTGTCTGCCAAGTCCGATATGACAGTGCCTGGTGAATAGCAGTTATGAACTGAGGGCTGATTATTGGTTGGAAATTGAGCCATGTTACATGGTAGGAAGGTGCTTGTTTTCCTGTCTAGAGGTTACACTGCATTTGATTGATGGATTTATATTCTACCTTTTTCTAAAAATGATTTAAGATGGCTGAGAGTTATACACGGAATTTCCACATTAGAAAAGGGATGGGCCAGGAATTTAGCTCAGTGGCTCCACCGCCTGCCTTGAAAGCGCAAGGTCAGAGTTTGATCCCTGGTACCAAAAAAAAGAAAAGGGAAAGATCAAAAGTTCCATTTTGCTGCATTTATTCCCTCAGTAAATCCTAACTGAGCACTTGGTCGGGGCCAGGTCCTGGGAGTGTGGAAATAAATGTAGCTTCCCTTCTAAAGGGACTCCTGGTCCCAAAGACAGAGAGTAAATAGGTGAATCATAATATAGCAGGGCCGATGTCGTGATGGACAAGGAGAGAAGAATTAACCTGTGTAGATGGAGTGGAGGATGGAGAATCAAAGTTGGACTTTGATCTCCTGACTCCTGAGCTGGGTCAGGAAGGGTAGGGAGGCTGCTACCAGGATGAAGAGGCACCTGGGGAGGGACAGGAAGTGAATGCTGTCACACACATGGTAAGTCACCTAAATCTGGATTCCAGGGAGGTGTGTGTCCCTCCCTGGGCCTCCGTTTCCTCATTTGTACAATGGCAATTGAATAGTACCTACCTCTTAAGATTACTGTGAGAATTAATTGAATTGATGCAAGAAAAGCACTTGCAACAGTTCCTGACACATGGCACCTGGCCATGAGTGTTAGCTGTTATTTTGCTATTGCCTGCTGTTGTTATGAACTGTGTTTGCAGTTCTGAGTATGCTGGACACTGCTGCGTCCAGGGGAGGCAAAGAGGCACCATCTGGCCAAGGAGGGTGTACAGTTGAGCTAGAGAATCAGGCATAGATTGGAACAGTTACTATGGCTCCCTTGATACTGCATTTCATACAAAAATGTGTAAAATTTTATTAAAATATAATACATGCTTAGAAAAGTATAAAAGTCTTACATATTTTACATCAATTATCCTTCCTCACAAGTTAGACATTTTAAAGTGGAAGCATTTAAAAATTTTGAAACTGCAATTGTGGTAAAATACTCATAACATCAGACTTACTGTCCTTACCATTGTAAGTGGACATTTCAGTAGTGCTAAGTACATAGCTGCACAGTTGACCTCTAGAACTCTTTTCATCTTATAAAACTGAAACTCTACAGCCTGGGGATGTAGCTTGGTGGTAGAGAAAGCACTTGACCAGTGTGCCCTGCGTTCAATCCCCAGCACAGAACAAGCAAACAAACAGACAAAAAACAAACCATGAAATGCTAACTCCATTAAAGAACGATTGTCCTTTTCTCTCCTCTCACCTCCTAGCAAAGACCATTCTACTTTCTGTCTCCATGAACCCGACTACTCTAGGCACCTCACATTAAGTGGAATCACATAGTATTTGTCTTTTTGTGACTATTTCACTTAGATTAAGGTTCTTAAGGTTCATCAATGTTGTAGCATGTGTCAGAACTTCCTTCCTTTTAGAAACTGAATAATATTCTATTGTGTGCATATATCAATTTTATTTATCCATTCATCTGCGGACAGACACTTGGATAGCTTCCACTTTTTGGCTATTGTAAATAATGCTGCTATAAGCATGGGTGTACAAATATCTTGAGACCCTGCTTTCAATTCTTTTGATCATTCTATTTATTTTAAAGGAATTATTGTACTATTTTTCATAGCAGCCACACTATTTCTCATTCCCATCAATAGTTTATAAGACTTCTAATTTCTCTACTTCTTTGCCAAAACTTGTTATTTTCTATGTTTTTAGATTGTAGCCCATCTTAACAGGTGAGAGATGGTATCTCATTATGGTTTTGATTTGAATTTCCCTAATGATCAGTGATGTTGAGAATCTTTTCATATGCTTATTGGCCTTTTTTATATTTTCTTTGGAGAAATGTTTAATTTTTTGTCCATTTTATTGGGTTGATTTGTTGTTTTTGAGCTCTCAGAATCCTCTTATATTGCAGATATTAACCCCTTATCAGATACATGACTTACAAATATTTTTCCCATTCCATGGATTGAAGGAATATTCTATTTTTAATTGCCCCTTAATACTTGACATAACTAAGGCAAAGAGAGGGTAAATAACTGGCCCAAGGTCACATAGCTATAAAGTGGCATAAGGAAGCCCAAAGGGCTGTGTAACCCTGAAGGAGGGAAGCCACTCTGTGCATATCCACAAGGAGGCATTGATGGCCTAGGTGCTGGCTAAGCACATGGTCAGTGATTGTTACTTGCATGAAGGAAGGAAAGAGGAAAGGAGTTTTCTCAGCCAAGTCATATTCTCGTCAGATCACATTCTGGAGCCAGATCCTCTGGGACTCCTTCCAGACTGACACACCAGCAGGGGAAAACTGACTCAATCACTTTGCATTCTTGGGCCTCAGCTTCCTCATCTATGGACAGGGCAGGTTCCATGGCCTATCTTTCTAATAGGCATATTCTGAGGCTCTCATGAGACATCATGGATATAAAATGCATTGTTACATGGGAAATATACCACCAAGCCACAGGTTTGGAAGCCAGTTAATCGGAGTGGTGTTTTGTAGTGTTGGGAGGGGTTGCTCCTCCTGAAATCCTAGGGAACTGGCCACGCTCTCTTCTCCTCCTGTGCATGAGGCATGTCTGGCTCCTCTAAAGAACTGTGCCCTCAATATTCCACATTTGGGCTCCTCTGTTCAGCATACACTCCTGGGGTCCGAGACATAGTGACCATCCCAGAGAGGGTTAGAGTCCCTGCTGTGTCCTCGCAGCGCCTGGGTGCCTTGTGCTAGCCAGCCTTTGTCTCCCAGGGCACAGGGCGCCCCTTCCTCAGAACAGAGTGGTCATAAGGGTTGTGACCTGCAGGGTAGGAACTGACCCAGCCCTTGGCAATGCAGAGTCCAACCACCCACCCAAAATAAAACACCCCTAGCAATAAAATACTCCACCTTTCATTACCAGAGCCAGCAACTAGAATTCTTAACTTTTTGGAGGTTTTTGACTCTTAAGAATTTGGTGAAAGCTATGGAAGGATGTTCTATGCACACACTCAAAATGCTGCATTCTGTTTAAATTCAATTTAAATAATGTTTCAACTGGCCACAAAAACATGAGATTAGCATGAGAGTCTGGGCGAAGTAAGGAAGAGGTTTCAGGGTCCTGGGAGGGTAGTACTTGCTGTGGCCTCCTGGTTTCATCCTGGTCTTCCACTTTTTGTACCCTCCGCCTCTCTGAAATGCTCACTGTGCAGTGATTGCCACATCTACCTGGTTGGGAAATAGCAGCTATAGCAACTCTGCAAGGCCTGAGGCCATAGGCCAGCCCAACCTACCCGCTATAAAAGGGAACCAGCACTCAGCCCTGTGTATCTTTTGTCAACTGTTTTGGGCAGAGGTGGTAAGTGGGACTGTCTGGACCTGTCCCACACTTTGGGCTTCCTTTCAGGAGGGTTGGAGGAGTGGAGTAGCCTTCTCTGA